TTAGGTTTTGGAATGTTGTGTTAAAAATTGTGGTCAATTAGTACATGATGAAGTTGGAACTAAGCCTTTTATGGAACAAATAAGAGAAATTATAAAAACAACACCACATGAAAATGTTAAGAACAAATTACTAGAACTATTACAGACGTGGGCGTTTGCTTTCCGAGCTATTCCAAAATATTGTGCTGTTCAGGTAATTATATTTTCTTGGCTATTTTTATTTATTTTTTAAAAATTTATTTACAATAAGACATTCCTATCATATAAAGCTATCTACTCTTGACTATTAAAATATAATAATTCATGGTCTATTAATTATTACAACATTATGTAGCTATTTAATTTTAAAAAGGAAGTATTGCTATTCTGAACATAATTATGTTTTATATATATATATATTTTTTTTTTTTATAGGATACAGTTAACATAATGAAAGCTGAAGGTTATACATTTCCTGCACTTAAAGAAAGTGATGCTATGTTCAGTTCAGATGTAGCTCCTGGTTGGGAAGATTCTGATTGCTGTCATAGATGTCGTGTTAAATTTGGAATGGTTCAACGCAAAGTAATTTTTATTCAAGCTATTATGAAAAATAGTATATAAGTTAATATTGTTGTGAAAATAATTTTCTTTTTATTAGCACCATTGTCGTGCTTGTGGACAAGTTTTCTGTGCGCAATGTTCATCACGCTCTTGTACATTACCAAAATTTGGTATTGAGAAACCAGTGCGTGTTTGTGAAGCTTGCTTTGAAAAATCACAAAAGTACAAAATTCAAAATTTTATTCGTAAAGTATATTTTATAGAGATATTCTGGGTACCTTTCAATAACTTTATTACTAAATACCAGATATAATTTAATACCCATTGGGGCATTACTTGGTATCCATTTTTTAAAGAAATTATTTCAACCAATACTCAGTACTCGGGTTTTTGGTATTGGTTTAGTTGATGCTCGTCTATAAAGTATTCTCCCACTACTCAGGTTTAATAAATGCTCATCACTTATATCTCTCATATTTTTTCATMATTTGCAATASAATTTCAAATTATTATCGCAGATAAAAAAGGTACAAAAACTTATTTATTAGGTATATGCATRAAATTCAATTATTGGATGTTTTAAGAATAATGTTTGGTAAAATCTATTTACATAAATACMTTTTTGCCAATAATTTCTGAATATARGACATATACGAGTTGGATCGACCATCAGTGGGAAAATACTTCCGGGGCAGGTGTCAACTAAATCAGTACCAGTTTTTTAAATTTATATTATTGATTAATGTTAATTATTACCTAATTAGATGTCATGTTAGTTGGCCAATATTCAATCTTATTGTTAATRCATAACTTACCTATTACCGGCTAATACTATATTACATCTGGGTTTACTATAAGTTATTTACCTATAACATCTCTTAATTATTTAAATTTGACATATTACTAACTATGAATACTGCATTCAAAGATTTTATATTTTTATTTCTAAATTTTATTATTATTTTACCAATGTTTTTTATTGCAGACCTCAAATAAAYAAAGGATCAGAAGACTTACCTATAGAATATCTTACCAGTTCTTTGGCTCAACAAAATCAAGTAATATATATTTCTTATTTGTTGGTTTTCCTTGGAGTGGTGGATTAAAAAGTTTAGGCTTATGATCAAACAGAACAAAACATTGAATAAAATCTTTATTTTTATTTTCGTCCTTTATTATTATTATCAATTATAATCATAAATAAATAATTTGGTAGAATTATACATTTTAAGAGAACCTTCATGTTTTATTTTTATCTTTTTTTTAAATTTATTAATTTAATTGTTTCCATACACCAAATATTTTTACAATGTTTTTAAAATATTATAAAGTTAATCAATTAAGGTTTACAAATAAGTTTATAGATACATTTTAGCTTGATTATGAGTCTGGGTAGTCCTCTTCTTGAGCTTCAACTGATTCAAGTAAAACATCTTGTGTTATGGCTCTAGTCTGCGATTTTTTGTTCTTTTCCCAATGTTGAACTGAAGGGCATCTTCTATTGTTTTTAATTTCAAATGAAATCTTTTAAATTGTTCACTGATCCATGTGGTGAAACATCTGATGATTTTCTACTAGTTACCATTTATTTTGATCTATTCTCTCCCTAAATTATTAGCTATTAAATTTAGAGTGAATAGTAAGATACTGTATTTTGATTTTGAATATAAATCTGTAATTAAATATTACTATACACATTAATCAACTTATTGGTGGTAAGAATCATAACTGAGTTGTATATTAAAATTACTACAAAATAAAAACATTTGTCCACAAAACATTTTATTTCTTATATGAAATAATTTGAATAAATTATTTTATATTAGATACCAGCAGCTAATAGGAAAACAGAAGAAGAACTAAGAGAAGACGAAGAATTACAATTGGCTTTAGCTTTATCCCAATCTGAAGCAGAACAACAAAAAGTACTATAACAATCTAGATTTATAATAATRCAGTCTTATATTATTATGTATGTTGTATAATATKTTATACCTTCCAATAGGGGATACCTTTTATGAATTCCACTTCAATACCAGCAGCAAGATTATATTCTTCACCACCAGTAGTATGAACAAGTTTTTCATTCAATTAWTTAAGTAATTTGGTATATATTAATTATTTATCTTTTCTTTCACAGACTGAAAAAAAGGTTGAGGTTGAGGCTGAAGATGATCCAGAATTGGCACATTATTTAAATCGTTCATACTGGGAAAGTCTGAAAATGGGAAATATAGCTAAAACAATGCAAACGAAAATGGCTTCWACAAATGTATGTMTTRTAATTATAATTTATAAACAAGTTTAATTTTAAGTTATCTATTAAATAATTTAGATGAATACCATTGAGTCACCAAACAATGAAATTAATCCTGTCATAAATAATGAACAACTTGATGACTCTGAGGAAATGGAAATGTTTATTACTTCCGTTAAATCACAGTTAGAAATTTTCGTTAATCGTATCAAATCAAACTTAAGCAGAGGTAGAACCGTTATTAATGGTGGTTCATTGGAGACATTTTACTCAAAGATAACACCTATGCATCAAAAGTTATTGCAATATATTCAACTACAAGATGAGAAAAGGTGTAAGTATAGATAATTATTGTCATAAATATTTGGGTTGGCAATGATTTTAAACCTACTACCCTAAATATAATGAACTAGTAACATTTGTTATATGTTTAATATATATTAAATAACAAACTTTTAAGTTCAATGTTTTTTTAAGCAAAATAAAATAATTACGACTCACTTAACGCTCTTCAGCCGATTTGCTAACTGCAATGCTTCTATGAGCGTAATTTTTTCTTTTTTGATGCCAGTTGTATCGTCTTCTGTATCTTGTTCAGTGTTATGTTCTTCATTCTCACTCATGTCATCATTGATAATGTCTTCAATGTTCAATGATAAGTCTTCGGTTTGTAAACATTCATTTATTGAAGAATAGTCCTTTGCTTTCGTTGGACATTCTGTTGAAGCTAGTTCCAATAACTTACTATTTAAATCCTCTATTTGTATTAAGTCTTCAATATTTTCTGACCCCTGAAACCAGGCTTTTAAAAAAACACTTGGTGACCGTTTCCTTATTAATTTTKTTGATTGGTGCTGTAGTCCACAGGACCGCATCAAGAACCGTCACATTTGGTATTTCATTTTTTCATTATYTATTGACGAAAGTACGTGTTTTAAAAGACTAATGTGGTAATGAGTTTTAAAATTTTGTATAACTCCAAAGTCAAGAGGTTGGCAAGTTGATGTCACGTTTGGTGGAAAAACTGCGAGTTTCACATTCTGTAAGTTCAAGTGGGGTGACTAGTTGCGTTATCAAGAAAAAAAATAACCTTTTGGCCTTGCATTTTTTTATCGAAATTCGATAGCATATCTTTCATCAATTCTTGAGTCATCCAAGCTTTATGATTAGCCTTCCACATTATTCCAAGTTTGTTAACAATAATGTTTTTAAAACACCGGKGTTTAAGTGCCTTTCCAATCACCAAAGGTGTTTCAAAATTACCCACTATATTAACGCACAGCATCACTGTAATTTGTTTTTTACTTATTTTTCCATCATTGCAATTCTTGTGGAGAGAACTTTGAGAGACATTGTTTTGTTGTTGGATAAATCACRGAAAAATAAGCCAGTTGCATCCAATGGTCTTTATCGGAAAAATAGAAATAAAACGAGTTCATGTTTCTCAGTTTATCTGTCTGTTATTTAGAGATATTCTAACACACAAGACTACGCAAACCTGTCCGCGTCCGTTATTCTGAGTTGTCTGCTTTTTAGAGGGGCGTAATTCATTATTTTTAGTGGGGTTATGCTGGGACCGTTAAATTTGTCCGTTATTGAGAAGTGTCCGCTAATTAGAGGTGTCYGTTTAGGGAGGTTTCACTGTAGTATTAAAAAACATAAAATAATAAGATAGTATTTCTGAATAGACTTATTAGTCTAGGTAAGGATAGCAAAATAGTTTTTATGTATTTTATGTTGTTAAGTAACTGTGATTTCGGGTAAAATAAATACTTGTTACGTAAAAGTAAAAAAAATATTAAATACATGATAAATATTTAGTATATATACTATATATTATATTAATTGAAAAAAATCTTTTTTTAGTATATTTTGAAAGGTTGCAAGACAAATTGGTTCAAGTTAAAGACACAAGGGCTGCACTGGATGCGATGAGAGATGATCATAAAGCAGCAATTCAACAAGAAGCTGCATTTGCTGAACAACAGAGGCAGATTCAGTTAGCTATGAAATTGGATGTATTGAGACAGAGAAAACAACAGTACCAACAAGTAATTACTAATTTCCTATTAACTTTTATTTGAATTAAAATGATTATTTGACTGCTTGTCTTGTAGTATCAACATCAAATGACTCTTCAACAAGTGCAACAACAAGAACAAGAAATGGCTATGAGAATGGAACATCAGAGGCAAAACTATCTTAATAGTAATATGTATGGCCCTAATTCTTTGCCAAGTGTTCCCACTGCACCTAATCCTTACATGTCACCTGGTCCTAGTAAGTAATAGAAATTTTTTATCTTTATTTTTTGCCGGGTTTTTTTGCTTATTTGAAGTTATTTATTCCCATCATGCCTCACCACACATCTCTATTCTACTCTGCTCTTTCTCTATCTCTGATTTATTGGAGCTTCAGATCTTTGATTCAGTTGCTCCACTAATGTCTTGTTCAATTTGGCTTCCAACTTTGTGACTTTGTTAACTATAAAAATCTGCTCTCCTTACATTTTCTGTCCAGGGCTTATTGCTGTGTACTGACAACTTGCTTAAAACATAATAAATACTA